TGATCTGGCCCCTGAGGATGATCCAGGCCCTGAGGGTGATCTAACCCCTGAGGGTGATCCAGGCCCTGGGGTGATCCAGGTCCTGGGGGTGATCTGACCCCTGAGGGTGATCCAGCCCCTGGGGGTGATCTGACCCCAGCCCTGTGCTCTCCCTCCCCAGGGTGCTCAATTACTGCCGTGTGTTCACCGAGCTGTGCGAGACCTTCCTGGATAAGATCGTGTGCACCCCGGGGCAGGGCCTGGGCGACCTGCGGACGCTGGAGCTGCTGCTCATCTGCGCGGGGCACCCACAGTATGAGGTGAGCGGGGTGCAGCCACGTCCCTCTGCTCCCCTCGTCCCAAATCCCACCCTCCAGAGCCGGGTCAGAGGGGGAGATCTCGCTCTTCTGTCGCCACATGGCCATGGTTTGGTTCCTGTGAGCTGTGGCTCTGGAACACCCGCTCTGTGCTCATGGGCAGGGCTCTGGCTCAGCTTCCCCTTCCCAGCACCCTGGGTGTCTGGGGCTGCCAGCACAGCCCTGAAAACCCTGTTAGTGCTTTTCCACGTGTTAAAGTCAGGCTTGCTGGGGATTTGTGGCTTCGGGGAACTTCACCCTGTGAGTGACTGAAATGTTGGTTCATCAGCATCAAAGCTCCCACCCTGCCTTAGGTACAGACCATTTGTTAAGGCTTGGTCTCTTTTAATCCTTTATTTAATTCTTTATCCTTTTATTGTTCCCAAACTGTTAGTTCACTCCCTGTATCTGATCCCTGCCTGTGTTCAGTGCGTGGCTCATTTGCTGTGGAAGGTGCAGAGCTGTGCCCCAGCAGGCCCCAAGTGCTCACTGCAGTCCCTCGGACCCTTTTCCTCCCTTCCCAGCTCTGTTAAGCTCAGTTTTCCTCAGCTACAACCTCATCCTGTGCCAGTGGTGCTGAGGGGGCCATGGAGCTCTGCAGCTGCTCCTGACCAAGTCTGCACTTGTGGTTTTTGTGCGATAACCACACAGTAAATAAAAGAACCCACAACAAAGGGGCTGTGGACCAGCGTCCGCTTCCAGCTCGAGCTGCTCCCGGAGCCGTGGGCCCTGCTCCAGGGCGGTCCCGGGTCAGAGGAGAGGCTTTGGCTTCCGAGGGCTGGGGCAGATGTTCCGTGTGACCTGGGGGCTTCCAAACCCTTTATTGAGTGACAGGCAGAGAAATGGGTGGATCTGGGGGAGCTGGTCCCCTTGTCACCCTCGTGTGATGCAGCAGCACCGATGGAGATCTGTGGCACCATCACTGCCAGCCCCCAGGGAGGGTTCCTCCCTTGGGAGCCCCGGCAGAGTGGGGAAAAATGTGCTGCTGGTAACAAAACGCTGGATTTCTCTTTCCAAACAGGTGGTAGAAATTTCCTTTAATTTCTGGTACCGACTGGGGGAGCACCTGTACAAGACAGACGATGCCGTCATCCACAGCATCTTCAAAGCCTACATCCAGCGCCTGCTCCACGCCCTGGCCCGGCACTGCCAGCTCGACTCCGACCACGTACGGTCCCTCTGCAACAGCTGGGGTGGTGGGATGTGTCCCTGGGATGTGTGTGTCCCTCTGGAACAGCTGGGG